GTTACAGTATTTACAAATATATTTCTACTGCATTACTAACGCAGTAAGGGCGATTTATGCATATTTTGACCACTTTTTGGTAATTAACATGGGTTGTAAGTGCCATTGATAATGTGTAAATTGCTTCCTTTTGGTTATTTCACAATATAATACATTTAAATACATTTTAAAAATTTTCAAGAAAATTAGTGTGAATTTGGACGCGTGCTGCTTTAAGTTGGACAAATGTTTAGCTTGGTCCTATCCTGCTAGCTTATATCTTACCCCTGTGGTTTTGAAAGCTAACAAGCTATTTATCTTTCAAATATAACAACTGAAATTTGTTCAAAATAATTAATTTATATGACAGTTAATTCTTTTTTATCAAATTCCATTAATTTGTTTTTCCTTATTAAATAAATTTATGTAACAAAATGACATTGCTCTGTTTTAAGGATAACCAAAAAGAAAGTCCTAATACATAGAAGATGAATCAACTAGCATTACAGTTGAAGTTGTTCATGTGTGATGCTCACTGAGAGAAAGCATTATTTGAGCCCCGTCATGACAAAACCAACGTAATGCGTTTGCGACCAGCATGGATCCAGACCAGCCTGCGCAGTCTGATCAGGATCCATGCTGTTCGCTATCAGTTACTTTACTTGTTATAGGGTTTGTAAGCGAACAGCATGGATGCTGACCAGACTGCGCGGATGCGCAGGCTGGTCTGGATCTATGCTGGTCGCAAACCCATTATGTTGGTTTTGTCATGACACGGCACATTTTATCTTTCCTATATCAACAAGATTTTCTGTCAGATTACATCGTAAGTAGAACATTCTACACCTTGTGTTAGTAAATGCTTCTGTAGGCAGAAACAAAAACATTTGCCGGTAATTAAAACATAAGTCTCAGTGAAAATCCAGACATATAAAGAGATATGAATTCATAAAAAATACACTTCAAAATCAAAAGGTTTAATGTGTAAATGAAAATTGTTCAGTCAAAGTAGAAAAATATGTTGACAAGGACATCAAGCATAATTTTAAAATATTAACAGTTATTATTTACAAAGATAAAGAAACTTAAAAAGACAGATAACAACAGCACTTAAATAACCTCTGTAACTTATTTCTTTAATCTACATGTACATAACATATATATTTTGGTCATATTCTTCATCTTAACCCGTAACCTGCTGAATTTTTTAAATAATGAGTTTGCCCAGGTTCCATTGTTGTAATTGTCTGTTATTCATTTAGAGTATATCAAAATAAAAATAAAATATCAGTCAGCCATTAGTGTTCAACATCATTTGATGACCAATAAAATCACTCCAATTTTCAAAAAAAAAAAATGCCCTCATAATCGTACAGACAGGCAAATTTTGTCACTTATTCATAAATTGAACACCAATGCTGATCCCTACCGGTTGCTTTCTTTGGGGTTCTTAATTGTTAAAATTTCACTTAATAAACACTAACACATACAATTGAGCCTCGTCATGACAAAACCAACATAGTGCGTTTGCTACCACCAGCCTGCTCATTCGCTACTTGTAATAGGGTTTGTAAGCAAATGGCATGGATCCTGATCAGACTGCACAGATGCGCAGGCTGGTCTAGATCCATGCTGGTTGCAAACGCACAATGTTGGTTTTATCATGGGGCGGCTCAATTGTATATGTTAGTGTTTATTATGTGAAATTATGGTCATCCTGGTCAGGCTGCAGGTATTTGCAAGCTGGCCAGGCTCTATACCGCTGTCAGAGACTTAACTACTTTTGCTTCTAGTAATAAAAGGGTTAACATGAATATTACAAAAAAGAATGTAATAGAATAATAAAGCAAGATGCAATGATCAATAATCTAAAATATATCATCTGCAATTACATTTCTGTCAGGATTTTATACATGTACTAAAATTTTAGGTCATAAAGTCATCACATGAACAACACCTAAACAGCCAAAGCCAAAAAAAAACATAAATTAACTACATCATGTACTGTATCATTCAACTCATGTGTTTATAATCCATTCAGTAATGTAATTTGAAGATGTACACATCATTCTACTCAACTAAAATTTTTAACTGGATATGTTATGTCATGTACACCTTCTGAAAGTTTCTCCATTTTCCACCCCAGATTATAAAAATCTTTTTAATTCTGTAGGAAAAAAAAAGATTAAATTTATGTTCCACCAATTATTTCATTTTCAGTATTACTTCAACATTGAAATTTTAATCATATAAACATCATAATCAAGTTTAAATGAAATCAGGCTATATTGGTCTATAAAATGTTTATAAGGTTTTCCTTACATTTAACCTAGATTTGGAAGGTCATCCAACTTTGAAATCAAGGAAGTTTCAACATAGTTGGGCAAAATGTGTGATAATTTATGTGAAGTAGGGCAATAATGATCATTTTTAAAGTGATAATTCATTTTTGATTTTTTTCTTCCCATTAAGTGCAATAAATCTGCCAAAACATGATACAAAACTATGACTAGACAGTAGATCAAGATTTCCTAAATTTGGTCATATAACAAAGAAATAGTTAATTTAAGAAGTATGCAGCTACATCTAGTGGAATATTTTTAAAAGATTAATATAAATGGAAAAATTATGTTGTTTTCATTTGGGCTGTCATTGATGGACAATTTAATATTGATACATAGAGAGACAAATATCTACGATATATTGATATATCGGGATCATGGTGTTATGCATGCTTGTATAAGACTTCACAAATACTTCAAATTAACAGAAAATTTGTTTTTATCTGTGAATTTGGTCACTGACATTTTAAAACAGAGTATAAAGTTCAAGTGACTTCTCTTATTAGGCAAAATAAAGAGATATATTCACTAACAGATTTAAATAAATTTTAGCTTGTATCAATATTTGAAAGTGTGTATCGATATTGTATCGGATGATAAATATTGTTGATATATCGATATTGCCGTATTCAATGTCAGCCATAGTTTTCATAAACTTATTGTGCTCTGTGAATTCTCAGAAAAGTTGTAACATAAGTGTCACAGTTCAGAACTATTCACTACTTAGGGGAGAAGATATGTAAGTGGTCAGATAGCTCAGTCGGAAGAGCTGCGGAACGGTGTTCCGAGGGTCCCCAGTTTGAGTCCTGGTCAGGCTGCACATTTTTCTCACCCTGTGACATTTGGCACCCAACGGGGACTGTGACTGCATATAACTCAGAGTTTAATTTACATTGCTCTGTACCTCTGTGAAATTCGGGGACAAATTTCAATACAGCAGGGGAGTATGTAATGGTTCAGAACAGTTCACTATTTAGGGGAGAAGATGTGTAAGCGGCCAGATAGCTCAGTCAGTAGAGTCATGGGACAGTGTTTTCTCACCCTGTGACATTAGCAATACAAACATCATGTGTAAACAGAATAAAATGTTCCTGAACGAAATATTACTCTGCTAATATTAGTAATGAATTCATGCATGTACCAATTATTGCTTTAAGAAAATATAAAAATCTTAGTATTGCAAAAAAAATAATAATAACAATTAAATAAAAAAGAAATATACGTGTTCATTACGATAATTGATGTAAGAATTTTATAAGTTATTTGATTTTACTCATAAAATATGGTGCTATATCAGCCAAATATATTTCATCTTTGTGAAAGACAAAATGAAAAACTCATATTTATTTTTGGGACTTCATTCTCAAATGTTTCTCTGTTGCCATTAGTAACTAATCAGCTATCCATTTAATCATAGGAAATTATCTGCTTATGTTTTTCAAAACACTCAACTGTTCAATATGGCTATGCTGAATTGTGTTTGAATTTGAACCATGTCAGGCACCTAGTATAGTAGTATAGGTTAGAGTGCATATTGGGTGTTCTTCGTAAATAAGAAAGTTTAAAAGGAGCGGAGCTTGCGAAGCGACTGTAGCTTTCTTTTTTACGAAGAACATCCAATATGCACTCTAACCGGCTTAGTGCTCCGCCCACTTGCGTTTTATAATATAAAACGTCCAGTTTATATAAAATCTGTTCTATTCAGATTTGAAACCTGAAAATTTGAAAAATCCTCGTCAGTGATTGGCTTAAAAAAATTGGCGAGCACTAATAATTAATCAATGTATTACTGCGCAGGTAGAGTTAAATAATAAAGTGTTGTTTTTTTTATTTTTCGAGGAATATGGAATAGCACAATAAAATTCTATAAATTTCATATGCCTGAACATGAAAATATATTCCATATTTCACTCAAACGAAAAAATATCCTCTTCATATTAATAGATATATTTCTAAAACAACTGTAGCACCTTTAATTTTAACAAGCTTTACATTTATATCAAGATTGTTTGTGAAATTTTTAATTGATATTAAAATATTCCCTTTTTTTGCTAAATTGTGATACCTGAAAGAAATAGGTATAAAGTTATCTGTCTGTCTGTGTTATGCAATTTTGGTATCAAAATGTGATTGTTTTCAGGTATTTTTATTCAATAAAAGCCGTTTTTTTATAATTTTCCATTTGATAATTAATTCATAATTAATTAACACACGAAACATAAAATGGAAAAAATTAAAAGGATTTCATCAACAGTTTGAAAATTTGTATTTTAACATGTGTTGTAAACCATTATTTAACTGTAGCTAATCATTACTGTGGGGAATCATTATATTACAAATCGTGTGATTGTAGTTTACTTTCCCTGGATGAACTCGGAACTTTCAGTTACTTTTATCTGTTGCTGATTCCAGGATTTTATTCTACATGTCACTTAATTAAATAATTACTGCCACTCTTAATTAAGAATTTAAAATGCATTATCATATATATTATTTTTGTGTTCTATGATTCAATAAAACTTAATTTTATTGAAATAAATATTAATAAGAAGATATTCATTTAATATTAATTAACCGAAAATAGGTAAAAAAATTGGAAGATAATCTGATAATAGCAGTTATAATTAATATTGATATGCATCATATGATAATGAATTACAAAATTTCTAATTTTCATACCTTTTTACAGTACTGTAGTGTAGGCTATCCGAATAATAAACCAGACGGTAACTCTACTATTACACCTTTTAAATGGGATTGGTTCATTCAGTTCAGCGTGTCATGACAAACAGGATATGGCATGTTGACATTACAATCTAAACTCAAAGATTGCACATGGTCAACCCACTTTAAAGTTATTCTTTCATGTTAAGTTGAACTTTTACTTCCTTGTTTATATTTTTTGAGGCAAGCGTCTGATATTAAGGATTTAAAGGAAGATAACTCTTGTGAAAACATAAACAACGTGTGAATGTGATTGTAGTTTATCAGCTGGGTTTAGTAGGTATGACTTTCTATTTTATTTCTAAAATTCGATGTAAAAGAATTCACATTGAGCACAACTATTTTTAAAATAATATATTACACGTGCATGCATGTACCAGGAATGTAATTTATATCATACTGTAGACATTGGTAAAGCATTGTAAACAGGTAAAGGCAAAACAAATGTAATCTGACTGACATACAGTATACACAGGTGGCAGTATCAGTGTTTGGACACCCTATCCCTATCTGCCCCTGGACTCATACTACAACCCTGAAAAAAAATAATTCAACACTCTAAGGCTTACTATAAGGTACCAAATACAAAACCGCCGATAAAATTATATAAAAAAATATAGATATTAAAGATTATAGTTCTATAACTATAATTTTGATAGTGGAAAAATTTTTTTTTATATTTAATTTCAACGATGGTTTTGTATTTTGTACCTTATAGTAAGGTAAGGTAAAAACTGGGTAAGGCTGTTTAGGAATTGTCATCCTGGTACAACTACCATGGTGTTGGTAGTTTTCACTCCAGATTACGGCAGTAAGCCAGAGCACAGTTCAACCACAGTTCATGGGCAGGCTGTCAAGCAGTTTACCAGTACTAGTTGCCTTCACTTTTGCAAGGAACTGAAACCTCTGTTCATGCCAGAGCAGAGGTACAGTGCGAATGACCGTAGAAAGGATTTCATGATCAATCACAACGAAAGTGACCTGCACCTTGCGGAAATCAAACCCAATTGTCAGATTCACAGTCCAACGCTTTACCTATTGACTATATCCCCCTCCTGTGTACCTTGAAGTATTCTCGATATTGTATTGAGAAACGACAGCATCAAAATTGTGTCCCAAGTCAAGCAGACTTACTTATATTCTTAGGATTTAGGCACAAGAAAGGGGAGGGAAGTGAAAAAGAATGCAGCCTGAGTGCTGAAAGGGAAAGCTGATCATTTTTTCAAAAATTTACTAACTTATTTAACAACATAGATTTTTGGCTTGTTTAATTCTCAGAGGCCGTTCAGTATTACAGGTATCAATCATACAATGAGTACTTTTCACCTGGATGGTAGTCAAAATATATTGACGTGCCAAAGCCAGATTCTGAGATATTTTCGTTCTAGGTCAGAATCTAGCATTATATTGCCTAGACACAAAATAGCGCAATATCTCGTTGCACAGTATAATTAGTTGGACTTCATGGATGGGTACTGTCTTTTATACTTAAAGATATTTGTAAGGGACTACAAGTATTCCCCAGGAGGACAATAACCCCAAAAGCCTTTATACATAAGATACAAAAGAAATGGCTAATTCTCCATAATTAACATAGCATATACATAACCAACATAGCTTTATGCTATTCTTTGACTGATTGAATTCACTGACCTTAAAGGGCTGCTTCACTGTTATGGTGTTTAAACCTTTGCGGATGCCATTCTAGACAGTTATTATTTGCATTCATTTAATCACTGCAAAATTTAAATGATGCAATTTTTTCCAATTTTTAACAGACCATCACTGAAATTCCAATACAAATACAAATATCTTAATTTCTCTCAGGTCAAGACATTGACAACATGAGGTACCCAATGCCATTGGTATGGGTCATGTTCCCAAAATGCTGGAAAAAAAAAACCCTGAAAAATGATGGATAATATACTGCCAAATATATTTTACATCTTTGTCTTTATTGATCTAGTTGTTGCAAGTTATTGGTCAATAACTAAAAGCTGTACAAGCAAAAGTGTAATTATCTATTTTATGTACCTTGGACTGAGTGACCCCAAACGTCCTCAAAAGTTAGAGACTGCATTTGGTATTTGTCAACCAGATATGAAAGACAGCAGTCAATAAATATAGGCTGTATGAGCTAAAGTTTTAAAGATATTTTTAGCACCAGTGACTTTGACCTTAGTGAGCTATTTTACTCTACATAAAAGTAGAAGATTTCCCTCAATGTTTGTGGAGTTTATTTGTGGAGTATCCAAGGTATCTACCTTCAAAATAGGGAATCTATAAGATGTTAGCCTGGGATGTATGGGCAAACAGTTCATTTACTATACATGTATGCCCAGGGGCATAAAAATATTATTTAAACAGAATATATTGTCAAAGATATAGAAATATCCCTTGAAAATATACTATCAATAAATTATTGTTTATCATCTTTACATAGAATTAATATGTTAAGGTATATTCTTACTATTTTAAATATTTGTTATGATAGTTTATTAACTAATGTAGTTTTTTAAAACTCCAAAACATGACCTATGATCACTGTTAATGAAGCAGTACAAGATGCTAGTGATAAAACTACGACAAACTTTCAATAACACAGCCAGATAAAAAAAGTTATCAACACGTTATTTCAACTTTTGCATTGTATTTGTTTTCACAGTTACATGTTTTATGTTATAGATATATTATAATTTAATTATATGCCTGATGATATCTTTTTCAGATCACAGAATAAGTAACATCATGGATAAAAGAAAAATGAAGAATCAAGACAGCAACACTGAAATTAAGAAAAAAAAGCAGAAGAAGAATAAAGATTCTGAATTTACTGCTGATCAGAATGACCGTCAGATAGAATCATCAGGAAAACAGAAAGTGCATCAAAAAAAGGCAAATGATTTAAATCTAAAGGTATCCAGCATGCAAAATCTGCTGACTGAAAAGTTAAAGAGAGTACAAAATAAGAGGTCAGAAAAAACTGACGTTGAAAATACTAAAAAGATAGAAGAGGCAAAAAAGGTAGAGGAGGCAAAAAAGGTAGAGGAGGCAAAAAAAGGTAGAGACCAAGTACCTAACAATAAGAATTTAGACAATGTAGATAATAAAAGTAATGTCCATGGAAAAAATAAAAGAAATAAGAAGGAAAATACAGACAGGAATGGAGATGAGCAAGCTGTCATTGCAGAGTCAGATAAAACTGATCATGTACAACACGAACTTGGAGAGGAAGAGGAAGTTGATCCAGAAAAAGCTGCCATAAGAGAGAAAAAGAGGGAAAAAAGAAAACAAAAGAAGTTAGATAAACAAAAACTAAAGCAACAAAATGCTGACAGAGCTGGTTCAGGTCAGAAGGCTGCTATTGAATACTTGAATCAATGGAAAAATAGCAAAGATGAATGGAAATTCTTGAAAGTTAGACAAGTGTGGTTGTTACAAAATATGTATGATCAGAAAATGGTAATTTTCCTTGTTATTATACCTCTATTACATGTACATAGGAAAAACATACCTGAGACTTGCTGTTGGGTTATAATTGTAATTGTAGGTCAGTTGTCAAGTGTAATATAAATTACATGGTTACTGAATAAAACTGTTTGCAATCAAATTCTTGCATGATCAAGATCAAAGTACAGTCTAACTTGCCCACGTGACCACATGTATTAAGTGACTTTTGTCTTATATGACCTCTTTAAATTCTTTTTTGGGCAAAGCAACCAGCAACTGCTTATTAGTTTACAACTTTACATAAATGTGCTGTCTTGTGATGATTTCTAACAGTATGCAATTTGCAAAATTTTCCTGCAAGCAAAAAGTATTCAGACAACGGTCTCAAAAAAATTAGTTATATAGGTAAATTGAATTTACACAAATTGATAAGAAATGAATTAAACAATATTTTGTATTAAACATATAGTATGTAAAGTTTATTGATTGTTTCAGGTTGAGGATGATAGTTTTGAAATCTTGCTCGAGTATCTTGAAGGTTTACAAGGGAAATCAAGGGAAGTCACTGTGTCAGAAGCAGAAAAGGTTCTTGAAAAGCCCGAATCAAATGATGAAGGTTTGCGATCTTAAAATCTATTTAACTGAATATGAGGCTATGCTACTTATCTTTGCGAAACACCTGGTTTATATTCTGTGTGTGGCACTATATCTCATTAACAACTGAAGACATTCACTTGCATTTTGACACATTTCTTCTGGATCATTTAGTTTGTTTACCATAAGAGGCCTTTAATTAAGCATGCATTAATTAATTAATTTAGCATAACAGAATATTACCTCATGTGAACTCGGAAAATTCCTGGGTTGCATGTTAGTTTTATTTCCAATGAAGATAATACTATTCAGTTTTTCCTAGATTCTCCCCCCGCCTATATGACTGAATTACTGTTGGGAAAAGGCGTAAAATCAAACAAACAAACAAACAAACAAGATTCTCCCCCTTCGATAACATTGAAAATTCTTGGTGCAAGTTTGATGGATCTGCCAAACCACATGCATGCATGTAGTTTCAATTTCAAACATGTTTATCTTTAGGGTCTCTGACCCTAAACAAGTACATCTGGTATGTATTTCTCTGAGTAATTCTTGTTTGTGGACTTCATGCCTCTTTCCTTACATATTTTTTCAAAAAAAGGAAATTAAGACAAGATAAAAATGAAGAAATACTACATGTCAACACCAGTGCAAGTTCAGTTATTTGATAATCTACCGGTTTCGGTTCTAACGATAAACATTTACAAAATTTTCAAGCTAAAGTATACAAATATGGATGTCTTTTATTGTTGCTTAAAATTGAAAATACTGGCATTGTGCCAATCAACGAATGAAATTACTCTAATCTTTACTCCTAGTATCCTACCTGTATATAACATTGTACTTTGTGAAAGATATGCAGTGTACATAAACAGGTAATCATTTGAATGATATGTCGGCTGAAATATATTTAAATATTGTTATCAGAAAATGGGGAAGCCATGCCTATCTAAATTATTAGTCAATCAAGCTATAAAAATTTTGAAGTTGATTTTTATCAAATTTAAGCTTAAAGGGATACTCAGGCAAAATAATGACAAAAAATATTAAAATGATCTTATGTACTCAAATCAAGCTTAAATGACTTTTCTTGAAGTTTCAGCATGAATTTCTGTTTAAATTCTATATATTTTGGGTTTGAAGCGTAAATATGTCTATATATGTTGAAAAAAAATTTAGACGCCAATAGAATCACCAAATAGTTTTAAAACAAGTCAGGTGACTTGAACAAACCCTTGAAGTTACAATAACAGATATTCTGGATATTGTATGATTGAAGCAAGCCTAAGTCATTCATTTGACATTTCTAGAGTTCACTTTGACAACTTTTGTGAAATGCTAGGCCTCTAACCTGACCCACGCGGGTCACGTTAGGAAACCACCATTTTATTCTTTATATGGAGATAAGTTTTTTTCCTTTGACTGTCTAATATATTTATTTTGATGGCATTTACAGAATAATGAATGAAAAATTAAAAACTGAGAAATGAAAATTTTGCCTGTGTCTCCCTTTAATATATTTATACTTGAAAATACAATGTAGGTCTTTCAGCAAATGATCATTGCCTTGAAAAGTGCCTTGTTCTGTCTTCATCTTTAGGAGACCAGTTTCTTCTCTTCAATTCAATATTGATTTGCATTGTTTGATGTTGTTGTTAATAAATAATTATATTGTATAATTACTTGCAGAATCATCATCATCAGTGATAACTGATCGAGCCAGACAGATAATACAGTTACTGTCAGACTGAGTTAACCGAAATTGAAATCATCACAGACATCATGGAGCATATGCCAGCAATGTTCAACCTTATTGCGATGAAGCTTTGTGGTTTAAATAAGTTGCACATCATGTGAGTTTGAATATGGCATGTAAAAGAGCAACTCAGGGTACTGGATTCCATGTGGAAAATTAGTAGCGGTGTATGTCCTTGCTTTAAATAATGCAAGGAAAGATATCACAGACTGAGAGGAGGGATGGTGTTTAAAAAAAAACAGGCTGGAAACAAAATATATGTAGTAATAAATAGTGATGAAATCCAACTTGATTATTTGAAACATGTTACATCAGCATCACATTAGGTTTTCTTCATGCTAAAGAAAACATTGTATCACTTCTGATTCTTGAAATACATTGTATTGTCAAAGCATTTAGAGGTGTACTAGTTTAGAGTGTGTAAACAGTTTGTTTGCATTTCAATTATGTAATGATAGCATGGAATGTTCCTGGATTCTTACAAAAATGTTTTGGATGACTCACTACTTTAGTTGATGCTAAGATAGTAGCTAGGCTGGGGCCTTTATTGAACCCAGGGTCATTGTTTGCAGCAATATTGGAAAAACAGTGTTTCATGATTTTAACACTTGATATAATGCTTAATGCCATATACATGTATTAACATGTTGTAAAACAAAAGAGAACAATAGTGTTAATTCCATAACAATGGAGTAAGGGTTCTATGGCACTGTATTTTAAAAGAGGAAATAACAAAAGAACGGCCCTTTATTCCTTTTTATACGCCCGTTTGAAAATGGATGGTATTATATTTCCCCCCTGGCGGGCGGCGTCCAATTTTTGTACACCCATGGACGAATTTTAATGAAACTTCATAGAAATGTTAACCACTATGAGAAGCTGTGTCGCGCGCATGGACCAGGCCTGTAGGTCAAAGGTCACACTTAGAGGTCATTGAAAAACGCTTTTCCGGAGCAAAACTTCTACATGGATAGAGAGATTTCAATATAACTTGGCACAAATGTTCACTATTGTGAGGCGGAGTGTTGCATGCAAAATTTAGTCCTTGCGGCCAAGGCTAAGGTCACACATAGGGTCAAAGTTCAGGTAAAAATATGAAACTGTGTATTGGGACCATATAGTTATCATTTATTGAGGGATTGAAACACAAATGGCATTATCATGACTACTGTTGTGATACATGTAATTTAGGTTAATATGTGCAATATAATATAATATACTAAAGATGATTGTCAAGGTCACTAAAGATGATAAAATATAAAGATTTTGTCCAGAGCAAATTTCCTACACATATGGAGGGATTCTAATGAAACTTCATAGAAATGTTCACCACTGTGAGAAGCCGTGTCATGCGCATGAACCAGGCCTCTAGGTCAAAGGTCAAGGTCACACTTAGAGGTTATAGAATAATGCTTGTCCGGAGTAAAACTTTTACATCGTTTTAGCCACTAAATTGCACAATTCTGCGTTACTTTTGCACAATTCCTGCGTTAACTTGGAACAAATGGTTACAATTGTGAGGCAGAGTGTCGCATGCAAAATTTAGGTTCCTGCGGCAGAGCTGCATCAGTACTAAGGGTGTAGTACTTAAGTACCAGTACTTGGCAAATTATGCAGTACCATTACCAGTACTAGATTTTAGCTTGGTATTGCAGTACCAGTACTTTTTTTTGTGAAGTAATTAAGTACCAGTACCATTACTTTTATATGTTCATCAAAGTTTGAATAAATACAGTGTCAAACAAATAATTGCAAATATTATACAGCAAAGAAATAAAATCATAATTTACTTTAAAGTTAACATAACATGTTTACAACTTTATAGTTTTAACATACTTTTTACAAACAATATGTACAATGTTTTTTTAATGATTTTTTATTTAGCGATTAGTGTCTGCTTCTTAGCTTTAACGATATAAGCATGCATATAGTATATATAGCAGAAATTACGTAAGTCTTTTTATTCGTTGAATTGTTACTAAAGTCTCTTATAACTCAAATATATGAGTGGCAATGTACTTTTTAAATCATGTTATATGTGTTCTATGTATATTGTTGTATGTATGTACATTGATGAGACTAAAATAAAGATTGAATATACAACATATATTCATGTCATATCTTATTGTTTAGTAACCAGTCAACTGTAATACAATGCAATCATCTTTCATTTAAAACATAACAGTCTTTTGTTGCCAGCTTTCACACCTTCACACCTCTGTTCAATTTATACCAAAGTAAATAACAACTTTTTATGGTGCTAACAATATAACTTGAAATAGGATTATTTAGAATAGAAGCAATTCATTAGTGATTATTTTGCTCTTTTACTAGTAAATACAAAGTAATAACTTATGTTAATAAGGATCTTTTAGGGTAAAGAGTTATTGAGTCTGTTTATCTCAATTTAATTTTTACTTAAAGTCTTTGGTGCTTTTTTATGATGAATACTATGTTAACATTTGAAGGAATATTGCAGCAAATTATCTATAGATTTAGGAACTTACTTTTTCACAAAAATAAAATAATATAATTTACAGCTTTATTTTAAGAGAAAAAATTGATGCTATTTTTATCAAAACCAAAAGTACTGCATAGTAATGCAGTAGCAGTACCACTTTTAAAGACAGTAATGCAGTACCAGTAGTAGCAAAGTTTTGTAAGAGTAATTAAGTATCAGTACCAGTACTTGCAAAATCGCTGCAGTAGGTACTGCAGTACCAGTACCAGTAATGCAGCTCTGCCCTGCGGCCAAGGTCAAGGTCACACGGGTCAAAGTTCAGATGAAAATGTGTATTGGGACCATTTAGTCATCATTTATTGAGGGATTGAAACACAAATAGTCATTATCATGACTACTGGTGTGAATTATTATCCCCCACCGAAAAGGCGGCGGGGGATATAGAAATAGTCTCCGTCCGGCCGACCTTCCGCACTTCCTTCCGTCCGTCCTTCCATCCGATATTTTTGTCCGGAGCATATCTCTAGAAGTATTTGAGTAATCAACTTGAAACTTCATAGGTGGATAGACCTCATTGAGGAGGAGTGCAGTGCACAAGAATGATAACTCTACCCTGCATAATTTTTGAGTTATTGCCCTTTGTTATTTTTCAAAATTGTTTTTTGTCCAGAGCATAACTACAAAAGCCTATGAAATATCAACATGGAACTTCATAGCTGCATAGATCTCACTCAGGAGGTGTGCAGTGCACAAGAATGATAACTCTACCTTTCATAATTTTTGAGTTATTGCCCTTTGTTATTTTTCATACTTAATTTTTCACCTGAGTGGAGCATAACTCAAAAGTGTTTGACATATCAACATGAAATGTCATAGGTGGATAGATTTTATTGAGGAGGAATGCTGTGCACAAGAATGATAACTCTTCCCTGTACAATTTTTGAGTTATTGCCCTTTGTTCTTTTTCATACTATTTTGTCCAGAGCTTATCTCAAAAAGTATTTGAGGTATCAACTTTAAACTTCATAGGTGGATGGATCTCATTGAGGAAGAGTGCAGTGCACAAGAATGATAACTCTACCCTGCATAATTGTTTAGTTATTGCCCTTTTTTTATTTTTCAAAATTAATTTTTGTCCAGAGCATAACTCAAAAGGCCTTTGAGATATCATTATGAAACTTCATAGGTGCATAGATCTAACTCAGGAGGAGTGCAGTGCACAAGAATGATAACTCTACCTTTTATAATTTTTGAGTTATTGTCCTTTGTTATTTTTCATACTTAATTTTTCAATTCAATTTTTTTCTCAAAAAGTATTTGAGGTATCAACTTGAAACTTCATAGGTGGATAGATTTTACTGAGGAGGGATGCAGCACACAAGAATGATAACCTACCCTGCACTATTTTTCAGTTTTTGCCCTTTGTTATTTTCAGCCATCAGTATTCACAAAGGTTTCAAATCTGTAATCACTATAGCCATCAGTTTTCGTTACCAAAAGACCTCTTAAAATGGAATTATTCTGCTGTACTACATATACATTCTTCCAATGAGCAAACACATTCGGCGGGGGATGGCCATGTTGACATGGCTCTTGTTTAATTTAGGTTAATATGTGCAAGGTCAAGGTCACTAAAGATGATTGTCAAGGTCACTAAAGATGATAAAATATAAAGATTTTGTCCAGAGCATATCTCCTACACATATGGAGGAGGCCGAGTGTTGCATGCAAAATTTAGGTCCCTGTGGCCAAGGTCAAGGTCACACATAGGGGTCAAAATTCAGATAAAAAAATCACTAGAGATGATAAAATATCCAGATATTTTCTGGATATTGCCCAGAGAATATCTGCTATATGCTTATCGATTATGCCCACATCTCTGTCAAAAGCTTCTGTGACGGGCGTATAATGCGACATTGTTGCCTTTGTTCCATTTCAAATCCACCTCTGTTTGTCAGTCACTCTTAGTGTCCAGTCTATACCTCTTCCATTCATCAAGGAATTATTCAATATTGAAAAAATTTTCCATAATACTCCACACCCAGACCCCTTCTTTGAAGGTCAAGGTCACACTTATTGATCAAAGGTCATTGTTTGATGGAGGGTATATAGTTTGTGTCTGCTCCATAAACTATTCATCCCTAACAATAATATTAAAGTATTTACACAGTGCAACAAATGCAATCTGCACTGTGGGCCTCATAAAATATACATAATTATCATAAACAATTTACAGTCATGAATGACGTGAATTATTATGCATAAACATATAGACTTTTATATTGAAAAGAAATTGATATAGTGCCAAGAAAATATACAATGAAACATAGTGCCAAGAAAATATACAATGAAACATATTACAGTGTCAAGACAAGACAAAAGTACATAATAACAAATCTTTGAAACCTGTTTTGTTTGATGAACAAATTGCCATTGCCTTTGATTTCTTTTTGCATTTAGTGACATATTCTATAACTAAAATCTGGAATAATATACCAATCTATGTACACCAGTCTTAATTTATGAAAAATTCAAAAAAGCTTACATAAAGTGAAAGTACTCTAGTTAAGTACCATAGTATTATATTTATATAATTAAGTTGACTGAAGTTTTCATGGTTAATATTTATGTTTAGATTGTCATTGCATTTATAACTAGCTGATACTGTGTTTTATAATATTACATTGTCTTTTGTACAATTATTTGATGTAAATATGTTGTAAATATGTTGTAAATATGTTGAGGTACATATGGAAGATCGTTTTGGCCAATATGTAGCCTTGTTAAATAAAGCCTTTATTATTATTATTATTATAATCATAGAGTTCATTTGACACCAGAAATTAACATTCAATTGTCAGAAGCAGTTTCTAATTTAGTTTGTACTTCAAAATAAGTTGTTCAGAATGCGGAAATGTTTGTATCATCAGCAAATAATTCCATGAAAATTTCTTTTATTTCTTTGGAAGATCATATTATATATATATGAAATAAAAGAGGACCCATTACAGATCCTTAGGGGAATTCTTATTTTATATGTCCCAGTTCTGAAAATTTTCCCTATATAGATACCATTTGAAGCCTGTCATGTTGATGGAACTTGAGCCACATTTTGAAATAACTTGGCACAAATGTTTGCCATAATAAGAAGAATTGATTGTCGTACACAACATCCAGACCCCTACCTCTAAGGTCAAGGTCAAGGTCACACATGGGAGATCAAAGATGGAGGTTATAATTTGTGTCTGCTCAATAACCTATTCATCCATCATGGGATTTTTAAATAACTTTGTTCAAATGTTTACCATAATAAGTGGAATTGTCGTGCACAACACACACATCCCACACCTTTAAGGTCAAGGTCACACTTTGAGGTTAAACATCAAAACTGGGGCGCATTCAAGATGAAGATATGACAATCGTTCTGATCTTTTGATGTCATCTTAACGTTTTTTTTGCAAGCTGTCTTATATAGAATAAATTTATAAATTGGGTATTATCTAGAAAAAAATATTGATAGAATAAATAAATACTTGGGAAAAGTCACTCATGATATTCACCACTCCACCTACTTTTGGTTGACAGTGACACCTTTAGCAAAATTGATTAACTTGTGCTGGCAGTCAAGGTCAGTTTAAGGTCATCCATGAATAAATGACAAAGATACAATGACCATCCATCAAGAAATAAAATAGTTATGATCAAGTTTTTTATACAGCAACTGGTACAAACAAGTGCTACCACCAGCTTGGGCAATGCTCATCCTTTTTTATATGCCCAAAAGAATTTTTGGCATTTTATGTTATACCCCTGGCTTTCGTCAGTCTGTCCGTCCGTCCATCTGTTAACAATTTGCTATCCAGAGCATAACTTAATTTCCTTTTGGCCCACATTATTCAAACTTCATAGGATGATTGTCCATTTTGAGTAGAAGTATTGATTTTGGGGTCTGAAGGCAAAGGTCAAGGTCCTTATTATCTTAAAACTGAAAACTGTTTCAGCTCAATTACTTAAGTATTAATCAACCTACAGCTGTAAAATTTTATAGGATGAACAGCCATAATCCATGACCCCTATTGATTTTAGGGTCATAAGGTCAAAGGTCAGGGTCACAATTATCTTAACACTAAAAATTGTGTTTTCTGGAGCATAACTGAAGTTCCATTTGGCCCACAGTGTTCAAACTTCATAGGATGATTGTCAATATTGTGTAGAAGACCCCTATTAATTTTTGGGTCAAAGGTCAAGGTCACTATAACCTTAAAACTGAAAACGGTTTTTGCTCAATAACTTAAGAATTAATCAACCTACAGCTGTAAAATTTATAGCATCTAAAACTGTAAACATGGTCCTAATGTCATAGCTATCAGAACCTTGATGGTCAAGGTCACATCTAAATGTTTTAATATGTTTTTTGGCCACAAGAGTTGTTTTGTTCTAGTATAATTCAAATCCTTACAAAGTTACAACAATTTAACCTAAA